AGTATAAAATATTTACGCAAAATTTGTTTATTCGTTTTGCTGCGTTCCTTTTAGATCTTCCTATGAATAAAACATTTGCCAGTTAATTACTGTAATTATCACTAAACTGTGCTTTTATCAATGAAAACAAATTTTATCTTACAGCGTTACTAATTCAAAATTATATTACTAAAAGCGAGATATAATCAATTTTCGAAAAATTATTGTTTTATTTTTTCAAATAATTTCTAGAAAAATACTTTTAGCGAACAAATTACAAAATAAAGATGACGATAGATTCGTTCAACAAACTCGCCCTTTATAAAATTCGTGAATTATGTAACTGTCAGATCGCAGGAGTGATTGTTAAATTCTTTCTTTTGTTAAATTCATTCTTTTGCTTAACTTTGAGTTAAGCAAAAAGCGCGAAAATACCCTCACCTTAAATAAAATGTTATGTGGCTAGGGGTCGCGACAACCACACCCAACTAATTAAAGGTTAAATTAAAATTGTAATTTTTCCTTCCTCGTGACGAGTTACACAACGCGACATTCATTCTTCAGTCGTCTTCACGCGGTGTTGCTTGATTGACTACAGCCGAGCTAGCCGAGGTCGACAAATTCCATCCGGTATGCCCCGTCGTCGTAACCATTACAATCGTTGGTTGTTTGCAAAGTTGTAACCGCGTGAGTCTTCCGGAAAGCTGCCACGTAACCGTCGAATTAGAGCGACGATGAAAGACCAATTCCCAGATAATCGAAGTAGCTCTCGCTTCCCGTTAGCTTCCCTCCGTACGAGACGTTATATTGCTTCATCTCTCTCGAGTTGAACAGAAATTCCCGAACTGTGCCAAAGTCGACTTTTTCTCATCTCCCCTTTAATATCGAAACATCTCCTTAACGTCGAAATATCGTTCGTCAGCTTGTATTCACTCTTGCATAACGGATGAATGTACTTTAGTCTTTGTTGCGGATCATTTGCTATCTCAATAAATAATTTTAATCAATTAATTGAAACTATAAATACTATATAATTATTTTCAACATTTAGACAATGATATATTAATTAACATATTCGCGAATACAAATTGAATGTGAATGTTTGTATTACAAATCTAATGCAAAGGGTCATGCCTTTCGCCATTGGTGTGTGTTTAGTATGCCTTCTATATCCTCCGTTTTCACGTTCAGCCGAATGTGCAGCGAGCTATTTAAACTTTCGGTCAACGGAGGAGTAGTTAAAGTTTGAGAAATTCGGGTAACGCGTGTGTACTTTAATTAACACGCATACGTAGGAAGTTCCTTGGTTATTAAGCCCTGTCGTCTGGAAATTGGATGTACAAATCCTGCAATGCTCATCCCGCGACATTATATATTCACATTTTGTACCCGCATATATTCATATAAATTCTTGATTTGTCGTGAAATATAATCGCGCAGAAATACATTCAACGGAGCTAACATTTAATAATAAATGGGCTCCAGTTATATTATAATCTTTTTTGCAGATATATTTGTCACATTGGTTTATATTTACATTTCAT